TCTCTCTCTCTCTCTCTCTCTCTCTCTCTCTCTCTCTCTCTCTCTCGTGCAAAGTATCTTGCTAAGCTACTAAGTTAGCCAGGCTAGAAAAATAAATAAATAAATAATTTAGTAATTTGATTGCCCAGGCTGGGCTGGAACCTGTGACCTTCCTGCCTTAGCCTCCAAGAGTGCAAGATTAAAGACATGTACCACTACACCAGCTCACATATACAATTTTTCAAATGGCACTCTTTAAATAGTAACTAGAAGGGTATTAAAAAGTTGTATTTTAACTACTAACTCAAAAATAAGTCTCTGTGCCCAGTGCACATGCCTATAACCTCCCTGCACACCTCAGCTACTGAAGAGGCTGAGGCAGGAGGATCAAATTTCAAGGCTGGTCTGCACAACTCATCAAGGCCCTGCCTCAAAATTCTAAAGAAGGAACTAGGGAGATAGCTCAGCAGTCCAAGGTCTAAGCACCTGCTTGGCAAGCTTAAAGACCCGGGTTCAATTCCCCGTACTACATGCTGTGCCTGTCACCGAAACCAGGTGTTCTATCACACACCTATAATCCCAGCACTGGGGAAGCTGAGACAGGAAGATCACTATGTGTCTAAGCTGTGTAGTGAGACCCTATACCATATAAATAAATACAAGGGTTTTTTTGTTTTGTTTTGTTTTTAATTCTAAAGGGGTGGAATGTGGCTTAATGGTCATGCATTTAGTCTTCAACACTGAAAAAATATTTTTTTAACTGCATTCAAGTATCATAACATTCTAGTTACCTGGAAATATCCCCCCAGTACCATTCGGCATCCTGAAGAGGAATGGAACTGTCCTTCATTCCGTTTGTAGTTGCTGAAATCATTGGCTTAGGAGGCTTTGGTGGAAGAGCTGTAAGATAAACAGTAACTATTTTCTACATGTAAATTATTCTGTTTTCTAATTTCCTCAGCCAGGAGCAGCTCATTAACCAATATACATTAAGATTCGAATAATTACCCATCAAATTAAATGTTACTTGATATCTAGTTTTAGCCAAACAAATTATTTTGGAACACTTATCAATAACTGTCTGAAAAGGAAAAATTTCAAGCTGTTTAGGTTTTTCCCAATTTATAAAATACCTTTTTTTTTTTTGTATTTAGGACAGGGTCTACAGGGTCTCGCTACATAGATCGGATTCAGTGATTCTCCTGTTTTCAGCCTCCCAAGTGCTGGGATTACAGGTACACGCTACCACTCCTAGTCTCAATCTCTGCAACTTTTAATTCAGCAAAACTTCCTTATCTGAAAGACAACACAAAAACCCCTCCTAAACAATTCATTCCAGAAGAAAAGAAATGAAAAATGAGGGGCCAGCCAAATAGCTCAGCAGATTAAAGCTCCTGCAGGCACAGGGGCCAGGGGTTCAATCCCCGGGCCTGCTATGCCAGCCCCAACCCCGGGGCGAGCTGAGACAGCAATTGAGACTGAGCATGGTGGTGCACACCCATAATGCCAGCTCTTGGGAGGATGTAAACAGGTGGATCACTATGAATCTGATCTAGTAGTGAGCCCCTGAACACCCTGTAGACCCTTCCCTAAAAAAAAAAAAGTTACAAATAGGAAAAGATGAAAAATAGAATGAACACTCTGATACAGACCTGGAATTTCTGAACTCATGAATTTCTATATATAGATAGAGATATAAAAATAAACAGAACCAAACACAGTGGCATAAACCTGCAGTCCAGCATTCAGGGAGGCTAAGGCAGGAGAATTGCAAGTTTATTTATTTATTTTATTAATTTTATTGAGAAACAAATAGCAATGAGACAGTTTCAAAAACCAAGTAGTAGGACAGTTTCAATAATTAGTATACTGCATATTGTTGTACAAGATGCAGACATGATATCCTGTTCAAACACTATTAGTACAAATCTTTCTTCTCATTGAATAGGATTGCAAGTTTAAATCCTACCTGAAATAAATAAATAAATCCTACCTGGTCAACTTAATGACTTAACAAAACCATGTCTCAAAATAAAAGGGCCTGGGGCCGGGGAGATGGCTTAGTGGAATAAGCGCTTCCCTGGCAAGCACAAGGGTCTGAGTTCAATCCCCGGTTCCACCAAAAAATAAAAAAATAAAAATAAATAAAATAAAAGGGGCTAAGGACGCTGGAATTTAATCACACACACACACACACACACACACACACACACACACAGTATGTGTCTGCATTTAGAGGAAATACACATATGTTCCTTAACTCTGCTTCCTGAAAGGTCCTGGGAGCAATAACAGACACAGACACACATACACACACACACACACACACACATATACACACACACACGGAGCAGGTACCAAATAAATCTGAAACATCTGAAAATGTGTTCACTGAATGAGAGCACTTGGTCAAAAACAGAAAAAGGTGCAACTCAGCAAATGAGGGTCTGATGAACATAGGATTATGAAGCCTGGTTTGGATTCCAAACACCACGAAAAATGAAAAAAGAAGGGAAGAAGAGAATCAAATTTGAAGAGAGCACTCTTACCAAATGTGGAACAATTAGAGCGTTAATACAAATGATAGTAAGAGAATATAGCTCATTAAAATATCAAAGTACCCATATGGATCACAAATGAAAGACTGAGGTACAGTTCTGAGGTAGAATGAGGTAGGTGCTGAACATGTGAACAGCCATGGGTTCAATACTTAGCACCAATTAAATAAACTATTGATAAGAAGCAAGTACCTTCCCACAAAATGTTTAGTTATAATAAAAGGGAAAAATAATTTAATAATGGAAAAGCATGGCTAAATATCAGCATAGCCAAGTAATCAAGGTTATTATCACAAATAATAGTGAAATCATGGACCCAAATAGATGCACTGCAAAGGACACAAAAAGTTGTGAATGTCATGAACAAACATCAGAGAAGTTGCAACTGACAAACATTCTACAAAATAACTGACCTCTAATCTGTAAAAAAAAAAAAAGTAAAGATCATTAAAGTCAAGGAAAGACTGAGGGAATGTTGCAGATTTAAGTAGGCAGAAGAATTGTGACAATTAAATGCAATACGTAACCCTAGACTGAATCCGCTTTCTATAAATGATATTACTGGTACACTCAGCAAAACTGGAATGGAATCTGAAGACAACTTGATTCTAATACATATGTTAATTTTCTGATATTTTTGATGGTTGTATTGTGGTATGCCAGAAAATGTTTTTGTGTATGGGAAATACACGTTCATCATACTGACAACTTATTCTTCAATGAATTAAAATCAAGTCTTTAAAACTACACTTACAGGGCCGGGGAGATGGCTCAGTGGAATAAGCGCTTCCCTGGCAAGCGCAAGGGCCTGAGTTCAATCCCCGGTTCAGAAAAGGAAAAAAAAAAAAAAAAAAAACTACACTTACAACTTTTTTAGACTGCTTCACTGTTTTTATTTAGCCAAAGATTGGAGCCAAAGGGAATAATGTGAACATGTTCCTTAAAACAGTAAACTGATTTTCAACAAGGTATCAAGAAAATTCACTGGAGAAAGAAAAAAAAAATTTTTTTTTTTTTTTTTTTTGGCGGAACCGGGGATTGAACTCAGGCCCTTGTACTTGCCAGGGTAGTACTTAATCTACTGAGCCATCTCCCCAGACCCCCCAAAAAATTTTACAGATGAACAATTGTGTATCCCCAAGCAAAACATGGTTCTGCATGAATGACAAACCAGCCCCACCCCAGGGGCACACTGAGTGAGTGGTAACAGAGTCCAGGCATGGTGGCACACACCCATAATCCCAGCGCTAAGGAGGCTGAAAACAAGAGGATCACTATGAGTCCAACCTGCGTAGTGAGACCCTATACCAAATACATAAAATAGAAAAAAAAAAAAAAAAGTGCTGGAGATATAGGTCAAAGCTCCCTGGGTTCCATGGCCAGTACTACAGGAAAAAATTGAATGTTACCTCACACCAAAATTAACTACAAAATAGATCCAAGAGTTAAACTATTAAAACTTTTAGAAGAAAACATAGGCTTAAATCTTTGTGACCTTGAATTAGGTAATTACTTAAATATGCATCAAAAAAGTCAACAACAAAAGAAAGACAACCCAAAAAGGAGAGAAATTTTTTGAAAATAGATCAAAAAGAGATATTTATGTATATTCTATAAATTTTTGTAAATAACATCTGTAAATACAATCTTTTGAAATACAGAGGAGAAAAAAAAAATTTTTTTTTGAGATAGGATCTAGCTAAACGGCCTGGCCTTGAACTCACTTTGTAGCTCAGGGAAGTCATAGTGATCCTGCCTCAGTCTCCTAATTGCTGGCTTTATAGGTGTGTGGGCCTAGTACACCTAACTTTTTTTTTTTTTTTTTTTTCCCATGGATGGGGAGGATACACAACTAGGAACTTAGTATCTTTACTTGTCATGGTTTCATTCAGATTTTTTCCCAGAACTGGGGATTGAACTCAGGCCTTTGTGCTTGCCAGGGAAGTGCTTATTCCACTGAGCCATCTCCCCGGCCCCTGCCTAACTCAGATAGCTATGTAATGAACTCGTGTAACTCAGTAAGAAGACAAATGACCAAATTAAAAGTGGACAAGAATTTGAATGGGAAATTCTCCAAAACAAGGCCAGCAAACACATGAAAAGGTTAGGCAGGTGGCACATGTCTGTAATCTCAGCACTTGGGAGGCTGAGGCAGGATTGCCATGAATTGAAGGTCTGAGCTACACAGTGAGTTTAAGACCCACCTGAAATACGGATCTTAAAAATAGCAAGATCCTTTCTCAAAAACAGAAGCACATGAAAATATACTCAACATCATAAACCATCAGATTATGTGCAAATAAAACCACAAAGTAATAATGGCTCACTACCACCACCAGGATAATTACAATCAAAAAGACAGATAAACTAGGCATGATGGCACAGGTCTATAATCCCAGCACTCAGAGGCTAAAGCAGGAAGATTACCTTGAGTTCAATGCCAGCCTGGACTACAAAGTGAAATCCTGTCTCAAAAAGCCAAACACAAATAACATATTATTCATCAATAAAAAAGACTTAGGTAATGATACATGGTAAAACATGGATGAACCTGAAAACTTTATGATATAGTAGAATAGGGCATGGCAAAACTGGGTGGGGAAGTAGATGTAATCTGTTAACTACAAAACCTGGAGTGTGTGAAGAACAGTTCCTCCAGCCCTGCACGTGGACTTCTCATAGAAGGTTTTCAATAGGACACCTAGAACTGATGCCAGCCAAACTAGAATGATAAAAACAGCATGACACTGGCACAAAAACAGCTATGAGGATCAATAAAACAGAATAGACAATTCAGAAAAAAACCCAGAGACAGTCAACTATTTGATTTTTTTTTTAATGTATTTAGTACAGGGTCTCACTACACAGTTTGAACTCATAGTGATCCTCCTGTTTTCAGCCTCCCAAGTGCTGGGATTACATGTGTGTGTCACTATGCCCAGTCTCAGTCACCTCTCAGCGTGTCCTGGAGGATCAAGCCTGGGTCACTGTGCCTGCCTAAGAAGGTGATTTAGTCTGCTGAGCTATGTGGCTAACCCTAACTATCTGATTGTTGACAAAGGGACCAAAAACACACACTAAAAGAAAGATAGCCTCTCTAATAAGTGGTATTGGGAAAACTGGCAATCCCCATGCACAAGTCTGACTTTGGTTTGTTTTTTGTTGTTGTTTGTTTTTTATTGACAAAACTGACTAGATTCATACCTCTCACCATGTACTAAATTGAAATCAAAACAGATCCAACATTAATCTGCTGGAAAATAAAATACTCTTCAAGTCAGAGGCATAAGCAAGGACTTTCTAAACAAAACCCTAGTTGCACAGGAAATAGTCCCAAGAAGC